TGGTGGGGGAAAACCAATAAACCACCTAAACCCCTAATCAGGCTGAATACATGAAGTACTGAACAGGTTAATATTGTTTTTGCATCTGTAGAGCATGTTTTATAGTTTGAAGGTTGTCTAAAAAGAGTTAAGAATTAAGGAATTCATGTAGACCAATGGCAGACTTAATGGCACCTTTGTTGCTATCTGCTTGCTCCTTAAATTCCTTAACTGAGAAAACTTCCTATCCAAGTTTCTCATTTTATGAAAGTTGAAAGAATGTAAGTAAATGATTATTCTTCTCAATTCAAGGCAATGACCACTCTCCCTATCTCTATGCCTAATATGATGCCATTGCAAGGTCAGTCATAAGTTTAACTACATTTCCCCCTTTTATTTTTTTCTTTTTAAACTCTTTAATCAGTTGTAATATTCAAAGGTCCTAAAAGCACAAACTTAGAAGTGGAGGCAACAGATAATAGTTTGTCTCTCCACCAATCAAAATGCTAAAAAGAAGTCAAAAATGAAATCAAGATATGTAGGAAAGTGAAGGGAATGTTATAGCTCAATACAGATAAAAGATTTCTTCTGTATGTAAGGGAGTTTCAGGAACTTACATCTTTGGGCTGCTGCTTTTTTTTATAGGCCTGCATCCCAGTTCTTTGGGGCTGATACCATTAGGCCAAAGACCCTACAGGACTAAAGGAGCATACCCCACCTTGCAAGTACCAGAGAGCCAACTCAACAGCTATGTACTCTGCACCACATGTTAGACCAAGGACAGGCATAGTATGTCCTAAAACAGGGGAGGCAAACACTTAGCGGTGGGCTGCCTACAACACTCCTGAGTGCAGCCAACCAGATTAAAATGTAATTGGGAAATATATAGCAAAATAAATAAAAATGTAATGAAATATAGATAATATTAATATGTGGTTTTCCAAGTCAATATGCAATCCATCAAGATCCTTATGTAACCATTTAGTGGCCCCCATTTCTATTTGAGTTTGATGCCACTGCCCTAAAATATCCACCAGATAAATTAGGCTTAAGATAATTAAGTTCTGCATGGGATCTGCCTTTCATTTTCACTAGTGTGGCCACTGATTTGCCATAAAATTACCCATTTTGAAAGTATTTGCTTCTAAATAGTAGTAAAAATGGATAATGATGAGTGGCAGAGTAGATAGAGTGCTGGGCATGGAGTCAGTAAGATCTGAGATCAAATCCACCCTCAGATACTTGTTAGCTATGTGACTCTGGGCAAGTCATTTAACCTCTGTTTTTCTCAGTTTCCTTGACTGCAAAATAAGGATAATAGCACCTACTTTGCAGGGTTGTTGTGAGTATCAAATGATATATAATGTTTGTAAAGCACAAGTGCCAGACACTTATTGTTATTGGAATTTGGAAAATGTTATTTTCCTCCTCCCAGCTCCCTGACCCCCCCCAGAAGACTTGATCATTTCTCCTTTCTTTAAGCCTTCTGAATCCATCTAATACAGGAGACCTAGCATTTCTTAAATTTTCCTTGGAGTTGTCAAAATATCCCAAAGCCTATCTTTTAAAATTCTGTGACCTTAGTTAAAGTAGACATTATTTGATGCAATAAGCATTCAGCAGAAATTACAAAGAAGTAAGAAAAATGTTTTAAAATGTACTATGATACAGTGTTAGTAATAAAATGTATACAATTAGTTACCATTTAATTGACTGAAACTTTCCAAAGTTTATACTGGTCAGAGTACAATTCTATCACTTAAATTCAGTAAAGATATTTGGGGTAATTTCTATGAAAAGATGAGCATCAAACTGTTGTCAGGAACATAACCCAAAAGTTTAATATTGTTTCTATCTACATCATTTAGACTTATACAAAGGCACTATGCCAGATTGAGTATATAAAGACAGACAGAGCACAGGTTTCGCTTTGAATGGATTTAGAATCTAATTGAAGGAGAAAGACATGTACAAATAGTTATGACACAACTGAAAGTGTAACAAGTGTGAAGAAAAGACCCATGCAATGCACTATGATAATTTAAGGAGGGGAAGGTTGCTTTCAGTTGTGGGGAGTCAGATCAGAGAAAGATCCATGAAAAAAGGAGCCACTGAAGTTGATCCTTGACAGAAGAGAGAGACTTCGACAGGCAGAGATAGAGGAGTGGATGGAAGAGAGCCATCTCTTGCCAGAGATAAAGAGTTGAGTGAGTCCAGTGTGAGAATGAGGGATAAAGGGTAGTCCAATGTGGAGAGTATACGGAGGTAAATTGTATGAAATTAGGTTGGAAGATATATTGGAACCAGACTGGAGAGTTATCAGGATCAGAATTTTGGTTGGCTTCCAGAAGCCAGGTTTTTGAAAAGAGATGTGATAAGATCACAATATTCCTGGTCTGGTCAAGGCAGAATACAATGGAATTATCATCTCCCCTAAATGAAATATATCTCACCCAATAAAGATGAGAGGTACATGTTCCTTTAAACGCATTTTCATTTGGAGCAATTTAGTGATTAAAAAGGTCAGAAAAGTGGGGGGTGGGGTTGTAAAGAAAAAGATTTATATTAACAAATTATGTAAGATATTGCTGCTGTTTGATACCCAAAATGACTTTGATTTAATATATTCAACTAATGTATGTGTATGAAAAAATAGCTCATATGAGATTAGAACATTTTGGTACAAAAAATATTTTTATTAACATAAAAGCTCAGATTTTCTTTTGAACAATATGGAATGATGCCTCACTTGTGTAACAACGGTTTAATGTTGTAAAGAGGCAGAGAATAATCTTTTATTTATTAAAAACTAAAGAACTACAACAATCATCTTTTTCAGATGAAACCTGTCTAGTCATGTCTCCCCTATCTTGTACTTGTGAAGTTACATTTAAAAAAAAGCAATTTCATGAGTACCAGATGATAGAGATATGGTTAGATAGGAGTTAATATGAAAAAGAACTGGGATTTAGGGCCTGTGAGCTCAAAGGCAGCGGTATGACATGGCAGCCAGAAAAGTGAATAGGATCTTCGGCTGCCTTCTGAGAGGCATCAATTCTCAGAACAAGTCGATGATCATCCTGCTCTACTCTGCTCTAGTCAGGCTTTATCTGAAATATCCCTTTTAATTCTGTGTACCATAGGGAGTCACTTTAAGTTCTTCAAATTTTGGGAATGACACCGACAAATGGGAGGAGGGTGCCCAAGTGAGGGCAAGCACTTCTCTTAGTAAAGGGCCTCAAATTCATGCCATATGAATACTGACTGAAGGAACTTATGATATTTAGCAAGGAGATGAGACTACTTGGGGTGGGGCAGGGGAGGAATGATAACTGTCTTCAAGTATTTGAAGGATTGTTACATGGAAGAGGGACTAAACTTGTTCTGTTTGGCCCCAGAGTTCAGAATGAGGAGCAATATCAGGGGAAGATTAAAAGAGGCAAGCTAGTTTTGATGTAAGTAGAAACTGCTTAATAACTAGGACTATCCAAAGGGAATAGTAGATTCCCCCTCAGTAAAGTTCTTTTAGCAAAGTGTGGATTTGTTAGGTTTACTGTAGAAGGAATTTTTGTCCAGGTGTGGATGGGCCTAAATGGCCAATGAGGGCCAACTCTAAAATTTTATGAATATGTGATTCGATCAGAACAGTAATTGGGAGGATTATTTGTACAATGATGTCAAGGATGAATTCGAGGAATAGCACAGACATAAGGTGGAAAAATCATTTAGGAGTCAAGGCAAGAAAAAAATGATGAAATCCACATCCAAAGAAAGAACTATGGAGTTTGAATGCAGATGGAAGCATATTATTTGCTTTTTTTTTTTTTTTTTTGGTGAGGCAATTGGAGTTAAGTGACTTGCCCAGAGTCACACAGCTAGTAAGTGTTATGTGTTTGAGGCCACATTTGAACTTGTGTCCTCCTGACTCCAGGGTCAGTACTCTATCAACTGTGCCACCTAGCTGCCCCCTATTTGCTATTTTTTTCTTCTGTTTTGTTTCCTCTTTCTGGTGGTTCCTCCTGTTGGTTCTAATACTTCCTTACAACATTACTAATGTGAAAATATATTTAATAGGAATGTATATGTAGAGCGTATATCAGATTGCACACCTTCTTGGTGAGGGAGGAGAAAAATTTAAAATTCAAAAGCTTATGGAAGTGATTGTTGATAAATCAAAATAAATTTTTAAAAAAGAAAAAGAATGAGATAAATTAGAATATGTGTAAAGGAAATAAAAGGTTAAAGACATATTGTGGAGGTAGACCTGACAACAGGTGGCAACTCATTGAATATGAGGGGCAAATCCTAGTATTTTATCATGAAGTTGCTTTGCTCCCTGCCTGAGCCAAGTCCTTTGTAGTTAAATGGCTTGAACACCACAAACACAACAAATTGTAAGTGAAAATACTTCAGTTCCCTAAAACAGAAAGCATAAATCCTTTTGCATTTATGTGATTATCAAGCTCTTTCACATTGTGCTTAGTCACCTGAATTGCCACAAACCCATTTAGAAGTTACAGATCATAATTACACAGGGAAAGAGGAAAAAAATAGCCCCAGGGAAATAATATAATTCATCCTCCTCCCCCATAAATATTTTGAGCAATAAGAGATCTGGAAAGAAAATAGTACAAATTGTTCGATTGTATTTACATTTAGAGTGATTTTCCTTTGTTCTTTCTTCCTAACACCACAGGATGGATTGCTATCAATGGAAGTTTCTCGAATAAGGCACCAGGGCTCAGAAGAAGTTGAAGTGGTTTCTCTCTTTACAACAACATAGAGAAAGCCTTCTTGTTCCCCTGGTTTGCCTATGTGTGCATGTATTAGTTTGTGTGTGGTAGACAGACCTTTGGTAGCAATCTACTTTTGCTAGCAGTCTCAGCCCTGTTTTGCTTTTGTTGTTGTGATTATTTTAGCTCATCAGATGTTAGATTACTTTGGAAAGGATTTAGATCCTATGTCAACAATGAACTTTTTGGTCTAATGTAGAAACCAGAATTAATAGCCAATAGACAAAATTATGGCAGCACATCAAAGTGGTTTATTAAACACATAGCCACATCAAAAAAATACTCTGAAAGACTACAGGTATAGCATCAAGCCACATAAACTCAATTTGCCCATGATGCCCTTTCAATAAGTCTTTATTTAATGCACCATCACAAATAACTTCAAAACAATTAAAAACAATATCATTTCATCTCACAAATAGTAGCTTAGTTTTGTATGTAATTTATGATTATGGTTCAAACATTGAGAAAATATTAATAGTTCACATGCTTTGTAATAATCTAACTTTTGACAAAACATCAGAATCAAATTTAAAAATCTGATGTGACTAAAGAAAAAAAGAACCCAGCATCCATTTTGACCAGTCTTTCCTAAATGAATAATGCTTCCAAGTTGATATTTCTGGGCAACTTCAGAGAAATCTTGGGTTTCCTTAAGTTACTATGCAGTCATGATGATTTTTACTTTTTAATTATATATATATTCCATTCCATCTCTTTGTCTCTGTGAAAAAATAAAATAATCAGTACAATCTAATTGGATATCACCCTTCTAAATGTAGATATATTAACTATGACATAGAATAAGCATTTTGCATATATTTAAGGCTTTTCATTTTGAAAGCAGATGGGAGACAGAGAACTTTTTTTTAATCAAATAAATACAATGTAAAAGGCTTCAAACTGAAAATAAGGACATTTGGGTTATAACCTAACTTTAGTTCTGACTTTTCTAATGATACCTTGGATAGCCAATGCTATTTTTTCCTGTATCTGGAAAATGAGGATAGCTCTTACCCATGATGGACTTATCAGGACTATAGTTGGCATAAAGCAGGTGTGTTAAGCCTTTTTGTGTGTCATAAAAATGTTTGGCAGTCTGGTGAAACCTAGAGACCCCTTCTCAGAATAATGTTTTTAAATAATTGAAACAAATGTTCTCTTCTTCCCAACTTCCCTATCATTGTCAAGGGTACCACAATCCTCTCACTCCCCCAGGCTTACAACCCAGGCATCACCTTTGACTCCTCACTATTTCTCACATTCCATATCCAATCTGTTGCCAAGGCCTGTTGATTTCACCTTTGTATAGTCTCTTTCAAATATACCCCCTTCTTTTCTCTGATACAATCACCAACCTGTTGCAGGCCCTCACCTCCTCACACCCGGACTATTGCAATAGCCAACTGAGTGGTCTGCCTGTCACAAGTCTCTCCCCATTCCAGTCTATCCTAAATTCAGCCACCGAAGTGATTTCTTCTAAATCACAGGTCCTCTCCCCTGCCCCCCACTCCCACCCTGGACCCCACTCAATAAACTCCACTGGTTTATAACCTCCAGGATCAAATATAAAATTCTCTGTTTAGTGTTAGAAGCTCTTCAAAATCTAGACACCCTCTTGCTCCCCCACATCCATTTCCAGTCTTCTTACACCTTACCTTGACCTCACCCCAACTATCTGGTGACAGTGGTCTCTTTTCAGTTCCTTGAACAAGACACTTCACCTCCCTCCAGGAATTTTCACTGGTTGTTCTCCATTCCCAGAATGCTCTCCCTCTTCATCTCTACCTCCTGGCTTCCCCACCTTCCTCCAAGTCCCAGCTAAAATCTCACCTTCTACAGGAAGCTTTTCCTAATCTCTCTTAACGCTAGTGTCTGACCTCTATTGATTAGTTCCTATCTATCCAATATATGGCTTATTTGGATATAGTTGTTTACATGTTGTCACCTCTGTTAGGTTGTGAGTTCCTTAAGGGCAGGGACTGTCTTTTGATTCTTTCTATATCCACAGTACTTAGCATAGTGCCAAGCATATTGTAGATAAATGTAGATTGACTGACTGATCTTTTTAAATAATTGAAGCAAATGCTAAATTTCAGTTAGAGGCTGGTAAAAAATAAAATGTAATTATTTTCCTATCCAAGTTCAGAGATCCCTCCATGGACCCCGGATTAAAATCCTCTAGTATAAAAGGATGTACTGCAAATAGAGCAGTGGGAGAATTTCAAAGGGGAAATACAGATAAACTCAAGACTTTCTTGTACATGTTTTCCTCTTTTTTTACTTTAATTTTTAATATCTTTATAATCTTTACAAAAAGACCGTAGATATAAAAAACTAACCATTTCACAGCAAATAGGAGACAAGTAGGAGGCTTAGTGAATAGAGTACCGGCAGAGAGTCAAGAAGACCAGAGTTTAAATTTGGCTTCAGATACTTTCTAGCTGTGTGACTCTGGGCAAGTCACCTAACCACTATTTGTCTCAGTTTCCTCATCTGTAAAGTTGGGATAACAATAGGATAACCTCTCAGAGTTGTGGTGAACATCAAATGAAATAATATTTGTAAAGCGCTTGGCACAGTGCCTGGCCAAACTTATCCAAAGTCATTTCAAAGGAAGAGGGCACTGACAGCTGGGGAGAGGGGGGGTGAGGAGGAGAGGTTAGAAAAGTTTTCCTGTAGGAGGAGGCACTAGAACTATGCTTTGAAGGGTGCTAGGGATTCTAAGTGAGGAGGGAGTGCATTCCAGACAGCAATTGGGAAGGTGGAGAGATTGGGGCAAGTAATGGACACTTGGGCAAAGAAAGAGAAGTAGGAGGTGGTATGCCCTCATGGGAAATAGCTAGCCCAGTCAGTTTGAGTGGCACAAAGAGAGTAATCTGATATAAATTTGGAAAGGCAAATAAGAGCCAGATTGTGGAGGGCTGAATGTTGGGGGTTTTATCCTAGAGACAGTCAAGATCCACTTAACGAGACTTTATTTTTAATATTTCCTGCATATGTGATTTGAGTATTTTATTTTGTTTTTGGCTTTTCTATAGTGGCAAAAGGGTTGATCTTTCTCAAGCACTTAAAGTCTAAACATTACAAACATCATCTTCCCCTAAATTTTCAATAATTTCATCTTCCTTGAGGGTAAATCTTTTAAGCACTTCGAACCATCCACTCCCCATTTGCATTGACTTGCATTTATCCAGACCTCGCCGTTTTAATGGTTTATTTAACTGTTTTATTGTATTTTTAAATAAAAATGATAATAAATAGACCTAGAGATAATCTAGCCAGGAAGTTATTAGGCATATATGATAGTTTGTCTTATGGGGAAATAGCATATAATTTTAATGAGATAATAACACTGATAGTATTTATGTAATGCTTTAAATTTTGCAAAGTGTTTTACCAACAGTATGAAATTTTATCCTCAAAACAAGCCTAGGAGGTGGGTGCTGTTATTATCCCCATTTTACAGATGAGGAAATTGAGGCAGATGGAGGTTTAAGTGAGTTGCCCAGGGTCACACAGCTAAGCTATAAGTTTCTGAACTCAGGTCTACCCAAGTCCAAGTCCAAGGTTCTAATCACTGCACCACCTAGCTGCCTCTATGAAAATATGAAAATAGTAATGTTTTGATTTGCCACCATTGCCTTTCTCTTTTTCTGACTCAAACAAATAGTCATAAGATCAAGAATGAAAGGACCTTGAAGGTCATCTAGTCAAACCCTTTTACATTTGAGGAAATTCATGTTCAGAGAGTTTAAATGACTTGTCCAAGGTCACAAAGATAATAAGTGAGCCCATATTCTCTGACTCTGCACTCAGTACTGTTTCTACTTTATGACCAGAATTTGGGAATCAGAAGGCACTTTTGAGACCTCATACCTTGCACCACAGCTGTGGCTAGAACCCTGCCACCCAGATGGACTTCTTGCCACAACATGAGCCCATAGTATGAAACACATTCATGAAATTTTTACCCGCAATTACTGATTCATTTTCTGCTCGTTTTCCTTTTTCAGCAGCTCAGTCGCCAGCTCTGTAATGTGCTGCCAGGCATGCTGGATGTGGACAGACTCTACTGTGCGAGAGCAGATAGCGAAACGCAGCACAAACTTGTCTCTGAGGTGACATGGGACCAAGTGGATTTTTTTGGATTTGTTAATTTTTTCAAGAAGTGCTTCATTCAGTTCATTGGAACCCTGAAAGAATTTTAAAGGATGAGTCATTTGTTGTTACTTTAGTACTTAAAAATTTGTCAACATAAGACTTTTTTGGGCAGGGGCTTGACTAACTATTACTTATCTATCAATCAATAAGCATTTATCAAGTACTTGCTAATGTGTTAGGCAGACATTGCCTAACATATACAAGTATAACATATACAAGTACAAAAAAAATGAAATCATCCCTACATGCAAGGAGCTTATATTTAATAGGGGAGACAAGTGCATATAGGAGGAAATGCAATATAAAATTCTTAAAGTCAAAGTAGCTAAATACAAGGCAGTTTGGGAGAGAGGACACTAGCAGTTGGATGATCAGGAAAGACTTCATGCAGAAGATGTTGCTTGAGGGGCATCTTAAAAGAAAAGTGGGACTTTCTGAGGCACAAGTGAGTAGGGCATGCATTCCTGGTATGTGGGACAGACAATACAAAGGCATGTAGACTGGAGATGGAATGTTGTGCCTGAGGAAGAGAGAGGCCAGGTTGGCTAAATCATAGCGTATAGTAGCGATGGTAAGATACAATGAGGTTAGAAAGACAGCTTAAAGCCAGTTGTGAAGCGTTTTCAAAAGTAAATGGAAGAGTTCATATTTTATCCTAGAGGCAATAGGAAGCCACTGGAGTTGATTGAATTGGGGAGTGACATGGTTCACTCCGTGCTTAAGAAAAATTACTTTGGCAGCAATGTGGAGGATAGGCTGGAGTGGGGAGAGACTTTAGGCAGAGACACCAATTAAGAGGCTGTTGCAATAATCTAGGGGAAAGGAAATAGGGGCCTGAACTGTGGTGGTAAATGTGTTAGTTAAGAGGAGTCAGATGCGAAAGATGTGGAGATTGAAATGGCAAGATTTGACAACTGATTAGATATGTGGGGTGAGGGAGAATGAAAAATTAAGGATAATATTGAGATTGTGAACCTGGGACACTGAAAGGATGGTTGTTCTTTTGACAGAAATAGGGAAGTCTGGGAGAGAGGAGAGTTTGGGGGTAAAGATAATAAGTCAATTTTTAGACATGTTGGATGTGAGCTATTTATAGGACAGCTAATTTGAAACGTCCAATATGTAATTGATGATGTAGGACTAAAGTTCTGGGTAGAAATTGAGGCTAGAGATTATCTGTCGGTCCCTCTAACTATTCCTCTGTCTAATCTGTGTGTATATATATTATGTGTTCTTACACATATATTTATACCTGAGGTAATGTGTATGTGTATGTGATCAGTATAGAGATGATATGGGAACTGATGAGGTTACAAGGATAGATAGAGGTTACAAAGACAGATTTTCTATAAATTGAGCACTATTGGGTAATCTGACTATCCTTTCATAACATGACCCTAGGACATTGCATCTTGTTATTAACATTTGGGCATCTTGGGATTTTGTTAGAGTCCCAAAAGATAACCCTTGAATGGCTCAAGTAAGGGCCATACATCTTAGCCTTTTGACCACCCATGATCAGTAAAAATAAATTATATATTATTATTAATAATAATTAATTTAATAAATTAATAAAATAAAAAATAAAATCTCATTTTTGTAAGAGCTGGGAATTAAGGAACATAAAGTATAAGACTTTTTAAAAGCAAAAAAGAAGAGAATTTATTAAATTAAATTAAATCTTTTCAGTCTACTATGCTGCTATTTTATGTTACTGAATTTTTTTTTTAGTTATTACTACTAGCTGTTCAGAATGAGCAGCTTCAGTTGTGACAATCTAGAGCACATAGTTTGTTTTTTTTTTCCTTTAGTGTAAATATTAGCCATTACACTTTGGGGAAACTGATAGTGTACCCTTTCAAAACCACTGATTTCTTAACTATTTTTCTTATATATGGGAAATATTCTCTTGGTGACCCAAGTTAAAGTATTTGAAGCTGTAGGATTATTAAGGAAAAAATATAGGTTCATATGAAAAATACATTTAATGTATTTTGCCAACCTTAAAGCACTATATAAATCTAAGATGTTATTGTTGTTGTTACTAGTCTTGTGAACTAGTCTGTTTTGGTTTACCTCTGCACCCTTGTTAGTAGGTGATTCTAAGAACAATTCCAATAATAGCTTTTGGTTAAATTGTTCAGCTCAGTTTTGTGATGAGGGCACAAGTGAGATCCAGACAAAGTATTCTAAGAGAATTTGAGTAGAGGGAAATCAGTTTCAGCTAGGAGGATAAGGAAAGGCCTTGTGGAAGAGAGAACTGAGCTAAGTCTTGAATGAAGAGAAGGATTTTGACAGTAGATATAAAGAGAAACTCCATTCCATCCATACAAGAAGACCTACAAAAATGCAAGGAGGACAGAGAGTACAGGTTAAGGAATGACTCTAGTAGATCAGTTTTGCTGGAATATGAAGTACATGAAGAGGAATGGTGTGAATTCTGGCTCGAGAGGTGACCTCTAGAGCTAAAAGATGTCCGATTAAATGCAGGGCAAGGAGAAGGGGAAGAATGATGAGGAAGAGTAGTCTATACCCAGTGCCCCTAGTTCTTCAACATCCACTGTTTCCCACATCTTGAATGGATTTCATCCCCCGCCCCCAAATCATTTGTTGAAAGCCTTCCTCCTCCCCTGTTCAGTCCAGGTGCAACCTCCTTCATGAAGTATCCCCAATTAAATGCAGTCCCTCCCTCTTCAAATCTCTTTTGTTACTATGGACTTTTCCGATATACTCATATTCTAATTCATATTATAACTACATGTGTCTGTCTTATCCATTCTACCCTACACATTCTAAGGGTGTGCTGGAGCCAGCTTGTACCAGCTCATGGGAGCTATTGTTAAATTTTTAGTGTGAGCATTTGCAAGTTGGAAATCAGCAAAAGTTACATATCAGGGCTAGATGCGTTATTTTCTTGATTGTCTAGACTTAAGAACATGATAGAGAAAATATTATAATTCAGATTAAACTTAAAAGTGTGTGCTGAATATCTTCCTTCCCCTTCCCCCCTAGACAGCTGGTTGTTAATCATTCACCAGCATACTCTGATTCTACCAGATTGTAAACTCCTTAAGGACACATAATATGTCTAGTTTCATCTCTGTATTCACAGTCATTTAGTGCAGTACATTTCACAGAGCAGGACTTTAAGGCATTTTGTTGGATTAAATTAATCCCTAGAAAAACATAAAGGACAAAAAGTAGTTCAAGATTCAGGCAGAAGAGAAGAAAGGATGAATTAGAGAGTGGTGATACTTTGTGCTGTAAAAGGGGGAGTAAAAAGCAATATATCTGTATTTATTCTCTTTAAAACAATAGGTCAACATTCTGACTGATCAAATATTAAAAGAATAATCAACTCCAACATTTTTTTTTCAACTGTTGCTAACTTTGTTTACCCCCTTCCCCCCCAAAAAAAAATTGTTTCCTTCAGAGAGACAATTCTTTCTGCAAAATACAAACCTCCTGATTGGTTATTAATGCCTCAGTTTCACTTCCTGTTTTATCTATGCCAGGTAGATAAATAGTAAAGGGGTATGGGCTGAGTACGGGGAGAACATTTTGGATTAAATAATACTGTATAGTTGTGCAAGTTTGCCTTATGTCAGATCCCAGAGAAAAGTGTTTAGCTACATTGAAAGATGATTTTATTCTCAACCACCAGATCATAGGCGGATTGGAATTGAGGCTTTTGATAATGATACTTCCAAAAAACCACTTTGAAAGACTTTAGAACTATCACTAACATAGTAGTTAATCCTGATTTTAGAAGACTGATAATGAAGTATGCTTTCTGCCTCTTGTCTGAGAATTGCTAGCCTAGAGATACAAAATGAGACATATATTTTCAAGCATTGCCACTAACTTTGCTTATGTGTTACAAGGTAAGCTGGTTCTAGGGAGAGTTGAGCTGGTGGGTAAAAAAAAAGTAATAAAATAGAGAGAGAGAGAGAATAAAACATTTGTAAATACACAAAACAAAAAGAAATTCAGATGGCTACACAAACTGGATAATATTGTTACTATCTGATAATATTTAATATACATTTAAAAAATGTATGTAATAGAAGTTGCCAGGTTCATATATAATCCTTTGTTCTGTTAATTGTGTATTGAAATGCTTTTGTTGTTGATGATGATGGTCAAATTCATAATAAAAAAGAAAATCTTTAAAGTTAGAAAAAATAAACCCCTGACTGAAGTGAGATAAGACTTAAATTGCTTAAATTGTTCATAAATTAGTTAAGAGAGTAAATAAGTCCTTCACTTCTCTATCATGAATGTTCAACCATAACTGCATTCCCCACAGCTGGTAGACTCCACTAGACCAAACTATGAATGAATGCCCACCTGTTCTATAGAAGAGGATATGCTTTGAAAGTAGTATTATTTGGGGGTGCTTTGGCCCTGGACCTCCCAATCTTTCAGCAGACTTGTCAAAGTTCCCATTGTCAGGGGCTGCATGTTTAAACAAACGCAGCTCTGTTCAAAAGACCTTTTCCAAGCGCTCCATACCCTTCAATATATGCTGCATCTGTTCCCACAGCAGGAGATCCTCTCTCTAATGAAAGAACTCACACAAAAGAAACTCCCTTCCTTCTTGGGCTTTGAGGAGGCTCTACTGTAGCTCTCATTATCAGACATGCAGTTTGACTCCTCAATAAACAGTCAAAAGATAAATAAATAAGTAACCAAGTCACTTAGGCAACTGAAGAGCTCAGGAAGAAAAGTCTGTTAACATTCACTATGTTACTGAAACAACTGGGAACTGTTTTAAAAGGCTTTAGAAAAGCTTTACTATAAAAGCTCATTTCTATGAGCCCTTTTAGGAACGGTATCAGATGAACATAGTCTGCACAATGTCCTGAATCCATTTAAAGTAATTTCCCCCCTCCAAGTGCACATGTACTAGACATCAGTCTGCAGATTAATGGACATCTGGTTAATAGAATTGAATGGAATTTAATAAATCATCTATTGGAGCATGAGCAATGGGCCATAGGAGTAGTGTAGAAAAAGTTAAGGGAACTGGGTTCAAATTCTGCCTCTGTTTTTTGCAATCTATGTGACCTTGGTAAAGTCACTTCATCATTCTAAGCCTCAGTTCCTTATCCATAAAATTAGATAATCTATAAATTTCCTTCCAAATCAACATCTTGTAACTTAATGTGGTACATTGTCTTTGATAGGTCAATAGATCTGTGAACTCCAATGATGGAGATTGTAACCAGCCATGTTTTCTCAGCTTCTGTGTCTCTTATAAGTGTTCCCCAAAATGTCTGTCCTCCAGGGGGCCTACCCAATGTCCTGACGGAGGGAAGAGGGTAAGGAGGAAAGTCTTCCTCTGGATTGCTTCACATCATGTGGAGCATATCAAGGGTTCACAGAGGCTCTCCACCAGTTAGTTATCTCTCACTCTGGTTACTTAACTGGCTCCTTCCTTTTCCAGTCATATTTCAGTCTGATGCCATCTTCTCCAATTCTGGTTTATAATTTTTTTGTTGTTGGTAATATGCTACAGCCAATTTATGTCCATGATGCATCTTTCCATTACCCTTTGAATTGGCCACAACTTTTATTCATCAGAAACTGTGGTAGTCTATGATTCATAGCCATCAAGTATCACTGGGGGAGTACTGATGGGCCTGTGATTCAGAGAGAAGCTTAGAGTTCATTAAATGCACAGTGCAATGACTTTAAAATAATCCAGCCCTGATTCTTCAGTTCAATTCTTGACCCAATTCACAGTTCATCTTTGGTGCCTGTCTAAGACATATCCCCAAGAAATGGGATATCCAAGTATATATGATAAACTGGACAATAATGTATTTTAATTATTTTTCCTGTAGGAATAGTGTAAATATGAATAGCCTGAAATATTTTGAATAGTTATAGATGCTGGTCATGTTATAGGGTTTAATGCAATCATCATGTAGGTCATTTGCAAATAGGAGTATCTAGAGGACCTCACCATTTATAGGGAATCCCTCTTCCATTTGGACTCTCTGATGGTCATACCTCTTTCCAATTTGCCTTTAGCAAGCATGTATCTCATTGTTTTATACATTACTTAATATAAATACTCAGAATATCTTTCTAAGCCTGGTGCTCTATCCATTGTGACTCTCAGCTGCTCTTAGATGTAATATTTAATGAAAATACTATTTAATGAAAAGAAGAGTTAGAGGTTCATTGCTTTGGGCTCTACAGTTATCACGTAGTGTCTAGGAAACACTGTAGCAAGAATGTGGTGAAGCCAGCTCAAACTGGCTGGCAAGAGCCAATTGTTAAATTTTCAGTATGAGCATTTACACCCTGAAAATCATCAAATGCTATAAATCAAGGTTTGATTTATTTTTTCAAATTGTCTAGATGAGAAAATGATGGAGAAATTATTAATAATACAGATTAAACTTAAAAGTACTGTATGTACTTTTTTGTGGAGAGCTAGGTATTAAACATCTATCAACATACCTTTGCACCAGAGATTTAGTCAAACCCCAAATGTTATTGAACAGATTATTTACCTCAACCTGATTAGTAGAATAATCCCCAAAAAGCAATACATTAATTTCACTTGCCCTTTAGGGCCCAACTAACTAAAATTAAATTCATCTAAAAAGTATCTTAAAAGATTTTTTGCTTTACTTGTTCTTGGGCCTTATTCCCTCTATCATGCCCAAAGCAGACAAGGAAGATTTTTTAAATGGTTTAAATTTACCTTCATTCGGAAACATACCAGCCCCAATACGACTTCAGCACAGATCTCAAATCGGGGGTCCTTGTGCACCAAAGATTCAAATTCATGTGATAATTTCACATGCTTGAAAGAGAAAAGGAAAACTAGATTGAATTTTGAATCCCAATGTAACCTATATTTATTACTTCCTATGCTCTAACACACTGCTGTGATTTAGCAATTTTCTTTACTCCAAATACCAGGCATTCTTACATATATGGATAGATTTTATTATTAGCTATCAGAATTACAGAATATGACAGGTGGAAGGCACCTTGGCGCCGTATAGCCCAACATATGCACTAAAGGAACCCCACTATATCATTCCAAATAAGTAGTCTTCAGAAACAATTCTAAACCATTACCCTTTTGTTAATGTGACTGTTTTTTCCATTTTTAAAGTGTCTAATAATTTCAGATTATGCATAGCAATGAAACATGTAAAACAATGAGACACAAACTTAAAAAGTAACTCCCCCAAAATAATTCTGGGGATTGTGTATCACCCAATGATATAACTATCTAAGAACAACTTGTACAATTCAGTTAACAACTTTGGGCCTTACTTTCCTTATCTATAAAATGGAGGGGTTGGATTAGATGGCCTCTCGTGTCCCTTTGACTTCTAAATTTGATTCTGTGATCTAAATATGCAGTTTGGTTGGCAGGAAGATAATTTCTTTGCCCTGTCAGTTCCCTCATTTATAAAATGGGACCTGATGACCTCTAGACCTCTAAGATCCCTTCTAGTTCTGATTCTGTGATACTGTGACTCTTCAAAAAAAGTTCTTTATTTAACATCAAGTAATTTCCAGTCATGTACACTAGAGGGCACCAAATGATTTGCAACTGATAGATTTCATCATGGCATAGTTGCCATGCATAGTATTATTTCATTTTGGTATCTTTGCAGCTAACATTTTCCATGTGTTTACATATATATAATATCTTACATATTATATGTACATATACTGTGTTTACATATATAAATGTGTCTATACATACATATGTATAATGATTCAACTATATATATAATGTCATATTGTGTGTAAATACACACATACATATACACACACACACACACACACACACACACACACACACACACACACACACACTGATTCAAGGTGAAAGAAGGTAGCAGGTTCTGTAAGAACAATGCTGAAGGATTTGGTTGAGCTTGAGGTCTACTTCCCCTCTCTTGAACTACTTCCCTTCCCTCTATTATCTCTCCATGTGCTCTTCAAATTCTTTTTCCATCTCTCCCATTCTCCCAAACCCTTTCTCACTCTACTCCTTTTGCCCTTCCCCTAAAGAGTATCTAATTGGACTATTTGCATTGCATTTAAAGGGCAGCACACACAAATTTAAAATGAGGCTGTGACCTAAAGAATGTTTTGGAAAGAAAGAGCTGTTAAAAGACAACTGATGACAAAAAACAAACAAACACAATAATAGGTCAGCAAAGTCTGGACAACAAATCATATGTTCTAGAGTTTGATCAATCTAATTTTTTAAAATTCAGATAATCATTTTTACTCTTCCACTTAATAGGAACATTCTAAGAAAATACCCTGAGAAGAGAAAAAAAGTGGGGCTCTATTAGAGGACCTGAAACAAAAATGGAATTGGAAGATGAGCAAAGTAAGGCCAATTTTTTCAGTGATTAGAGTGACTCAATATAGACCAGCCATCTTAATGAACTGAGAAAGTTTATATGCGGTGTTCATTCAAAAAGTGGTAAATATGGATAATCTAAGAATTATGTATTTTAATAATAGGAATTATGGATGTAACACAGGTTATTCTACTCTAAATCTGATGCACATGCTCCTTTTCGAATTTGCTGGCCCATATCAAGTATCAACATTTACAAGGTCAGAGACCCACATCATAAAATGTATTAGAAATTTTTTTTATTAAAATCATACTTTTAGAGTCAGAAGAAACCTAAGAGAACATCTAATCCCACCACTAGTTTTTACAGGTGAAGAAACTGAAACCCAACAAGTTAAGTGATTTACTCAAGGTCATAAAGGAAGTAGGTACAGAGCTAGTATTCAAATGCCTGTCCTCTAAATTGAGCTTTCCTTCTACTGCATCATGTTATGTTACCTCTTACCTGTATTTTGATAGAGTAGCATATTAAAGGGAAAAAAAACTAAGAATAGCATGTGTCTTCTCTATCAAAGGGTTTTTCTTTAGCATATAGGGCTTTATTTTATATATGTGTGATACATATTATATGCATTTTATGTGTGCATATATGTGATTTATACACATATGTGTTTATATACACATGTTATATATGTTCATGTCACACACATGTGTATGAATTAGCACATTAAGGATACGATTCATGTATTAGTGGTACTAGATCCTTCTTTCTTGTAAATTCTGAGTATAATCCCTTGAGGACACAGAATAACATACATAGGGATTGGGGATTGGGAGTTGGAAAACCCATATCCACCTTCAGTATCCTTGAATGAATAGACCCTAGGTTTACCATTCATTCTCCAAGTACTCTGCCACTGTGTTGGTGAAGAATTTTAGTATCTGAGAAACTTTTATAAAAGTGGAAAAAAACACTGTTCCTGGGAATCAGAAAGACTGAGTTCGGGCCCCAGCTCTACCATTTGCTAGTTTTGTGACCTTGGGTAAATCACTTAATATGAACCGTGATTACTTCATTTGTCAGATTATAATAATACTTGTACTTATTATGTAGCTATAACATTGTATTGTATAGATTTTTATTACGACTATAAATTTAGAGTTACATAGTCAGTGAATAAATATTTACGAAGTACCTGCTATGTTTCAGAAACTGTGCTAAGTCTAGGGATACAAAAAGAGGCAAAAGACTGTGTCTGCCCTCAGGGAGCTCACAATTTAATGGGAATATAGATATAATAATACTTGTACTGAGGGGCAGCAGACCTCAAAGTCAGGAGGATGTGGCTTTGACGTGTCCTGGTTGCGCAACCTTGGACAAATCACTTACCCTCCTAGTTTCCCAGGCAACTCTAAGTCTATAAATTGCAGAAGAATTACTGATCAGAGGCAGCATGGGGTAGTGGATAGAGCATTGGACTCAGAGTCAGGAAGACCTTGATTTGGATATTGCCTTAGGTATTTACTAGCCACATGACTGGGCAAAATCACCTCACTTCTCTTGGCTTTCTCATCTGTAAAATGTGGAGCTTGTATCCCCTAGCCTTGAAGCTTCCTCCCAACTCTAAATCCATCTGATGATCCTATCATCCTATTGGTAGAGGGAGTTTTCTCACCAGTAGTTCCTTATATCAATGACATATCAGGTTGGCCCAAGAAAATTAAGTAATCAAAAATATAAATAGTTTTTGAATGTGTCAGGTATGGTGAGATACTACTACTAATACTGTGAGTTTTAGTTATATTATTTTTAAAATATTAAAATGTCAAAATGAAATTCATAATTTCTCCTGGGATTAGCTTAACATAATTAAGTGAAATCTATTCTAATACATTTTTTGCTATTTGCATATTGTTATCCTATAAAAGTAAACCTTGGTGGTCTTCAAAAGCTATGTATTTTGTATATGGAGAGAGTATTGGTGAGTGGAAGAGTAGATTATGGCTTCAAATTGAAAAGGCATCAATTGCCATTTTGGCCTTTATAAGTGTCCTACCACCTACCCTGTTTTCTGTTAATGTCTCAGAAATCTATTAGGTGAGACAGGCTCTGGCTAAAACATGACTAATTACTCTTTCTGGACTACCCTTATTGACATATGGATCTCCTCAAAGACCAGACTATGAAGGAATAAGAATCCTAAAGTGTCCTTTTTAATCCATATATCCTTCTAGAGCTAATCATTTATTCCTTCACTGGGAGTATATTTGAAGGGACATTTGACAATGCAACAATCACATTTTTAACAATTTCTTAATTAGCAGCTCTCAGCTTCTGAATTAGAGACCATATAACTCAGGCTAATTGTTCAAACAATTAAAATGAGGTTTTTAGTCACACTTTATAATCTGTCTACTATGCAAATCCATCAAAGAGGTGCTGTATACATTGTGTAAAGTAATAGGTAAAAGAGTATGGACCAGGTGTGTCCTTAGGATGTCAGTAATATATATATGAAGAGGAAGGGTATTTCAGAGCCTCAGGCTTTTGACTCAAGCCTAATTTCCTAACTCCCTGCTTCTCCTCACAGTACCCAGACTGGAGCAATCATCCACAGAAATCTGATTGAGTCAGACAGCAACAGAGACTGGACTGGGAGTTTGTGGTGTTTATTTGGGTATTTGAAGACACAGAGAAGAGTTACTTCCTTAGTTCCCCAAATCTGCCTGTACCACCTCTTTCCAAATAACAGAGAAATTAGTAAAAATAAAATTACCTTGCGGATATATGCTTGTAGTCCCTTCACGCCATACATCCTAAACACAAACCACATTTTCAGAGAGCGAAATCTCCGGCCTAGTGGTATCTGCCAGTGCTGAAAATGGTGACAAAGCATTTCATCAAAGGGAAGCCTGGCAAGAATGATTTCTCCCTGTATAGCTTACCAGTTCAGCAAAGCAATTTGTCAGCATTGTACACTTTCCTGCCAAGTACAGTGAATCTTATAGGACAAACTAAATTATTCTAAGAACAGAATAAATCAGATATAAGGGGCTTGTTCCTGTGAAGTGCTAAGCCAAGCCATAAGAAGGGTAGCGAACACATCAGGGACTAGTATAGCCTTGGAAAGCCTAGAAATGTCTTGTCTGTTGTCCTATGCTTTAAATAAGGATAGACAGAAAGGCTTCTTTTTTCTTGTTAAATGAATGACTTGTGCTTATAGATGGATCATTAAATCTACTTCTCTTTTCTTCCTCTTCTGACTCTCTAAAGGCCAAATGGGAAAAGCAAGTAGCCCTTTTGGAGTAATATGCAGTGGATAGAGATAACAGAGGAGAAATACTGGGTGTGCATTTGAGAAATAGGAGACAAATTTTTCCTTCCACTCTGCTCAGGCACATTGTCCCTGCATATATGTATGGAGTAGACTTAACATCCTAAGGATCCTAATGAAGGTCTGCAAAGCAGAGCTGAGTTCAGAGCACATCCCAGAGAAGTAAAAGTTGCTACAAATACTTCTATCAAAGAGGGTTTAAATTTGGTAATGGGGTGCATTGAATGGATTATGGGAAAGGAGAACAGAGTTATTTGAAAATAATTCTTCCTATGGGTCACAGCTTTTTATTTAATGTCTGAGCTGAGAATAGTACATAATGTCCTTTATTAAATATAAATGGCAATTCATATTTGTCACAATTCTATTTTTAAGGAAAAAAACTAAGTCTTCCCCTCTCACCGCTGTGACTACTGATTGGCACGGAAGTTTTAATATTCTATTAATATTAATTTCCAATCTGGTCTGCTTTGCCCATTTCCAGAGGCCCCCCATGGTGGACAGGGGGGCAAATGCTGCTTGACTTAGCAGATATGCAGTTGGCTTAGTCCATTATTGCTCAGAACACTCAAGCTCAAGAGGTCTGCCAGTCTCAGCCTCCCTAGTAGTTGTGATTATAGGTATGTCCCTCTATGTCTGGCTTATCACAAAAATTTTTAATAGATAATTCAACGGGCTCCATCTCAGCCCTCACCCCCAGCCGCCACTGTACACATACATCTAGAGAGGATCCAATTGTATGCATCATGTAGTTTTATACTTTCTTCCTTTACTTGGGAGTATAATGGAAATAGTATCTTCTCCCCAGGAAATTGTCTTTGGATTCGTTGGCTTGACTTTTCTGGTATTTCAGCATTCTTGGGTCATAACTGCTTTGAGGAGCTTTGGGACCATGTGCATTCACTATACTTGGAGAGTGGGACAGGGGAAGAGAGAGAGTATTGATGTATATGTGAATAGAGTGGATAGCTGGACATTTTGAAACCTCAGTTACTCATTTGGAAATGTTTTTTAATGCCTCCATGAAAAAACAAAAACTGTCATATAGTGGCCTTACCTACGGAACTGGTTAGTTGAGACAGAAAAAGCTGTGCAGTAACTGATAGAACATTACCTAACTTTTTTAAAGGAGTAACTTAGAGGTTCTAATTTTGTAGGTTTATCGATCTTGAGAATGACAGTAGGTAATGGAAAACAATACACAAAAACATGTAGAACAATAGATGCTCCTTTCTAGAGGAGATACATGATTTAAGATGGAGAAAAAAACAGGCAAATAGTTTACTTACCCGATAGTCAGTGACAAGACCTGAAACAATTTTTTTAAAAAAGGCATAGTGGTCATTGAATATGTTAATGAAGTTTAAAAATCTAAAATACTTAGGCCTCCCTTTACCCCCCTCATTCTCTCCAGCTACAACATAGCTTTACGGCTTTATCTCACACTACTCCCCTCCACACACTCTCAAGCCAAATTGGATTCTTCATCTTCCCTGAGCATGTTTGGCATAATCTCATTTTGGAGCTTTTGTTCATGCCATTCCCCATTTCCTCTCCTCCTATTTCCACATGTAGTATCCTTGCTGTCATAAAATCATGGAGTCATAAAATGTTAGAACTGGAGAGGACCTCAGGCAAACATTCCTCAATTTACACATGAGGAAACAACCTTCAAGGTCTAGTTCAAAGGCTACACCATTCATAAAGGCTTTCCTAAATGCCCTGCAAGAAATTCTCTCTTTCCTCTTTAAATCCTCTCAGATTTTTATTCCTATCCCTTTGGGGGTACTTGTCACATTCTTTTTTTATACTCTAGGGTTTTGTCGTCGTCGTCGTTGTTTGGTACATGTCTTATCCTCTTTACGGTGCTCCTCAAGGACCAGAACTAATACAGTTACCTCCATCAGTAACTAAGACTGTGCATCGCATATTTTGTTGTTGTTATTTAGTCGTCTTCTGTAGTGGCCAACTCTTTTTGACCCCTTTGGGGGTTTCCTTTTACAGATGAGGAAACTGAGGCAAATAGGGTTAAGTGACTTGCTCAGGATCGCATGGCTAGTATGTGTCTGAGGCTTGACTGAACTCAGGAAGATGAATCTTCCTGACTCCAGATGAGATTTCCCAGCACTCTATCCACTATCCACAGTTCCACCTAGCTTGCCATATAGTAGTTACTTAAAGATTGTCAGACTATATATATACTTCAAGCTCTTAAATTCCATGGCTCTGTGAACTGAATCCTTAACCAAACTAAATATCTTATTTTTGTCCATCTTGTCTCAATAAACTGGAGAAAGAAAGAAAGAAAGGAAGGAAGGAAGGAAGGAAGAAAGAAAGAAAGAAAGAAAGAAAGAAAGAAAGAAAGAAAGAAAGAAAGAAAGAAAGAAAGAAAGAAAGAAAGAGAAAAGGAAAGAAGGAAAGAGGGAGAGAGGAAGGAAGGAAGAAAGAGAAAAATAGTATTGCTGAGAATAGCTAAGTCATTCATAGTTGTTCATCATATAATACTGCTGTTACTGGGTAGAATATTCTCCTGGTTCTGCTCACTTCACTCTGCGTCAATTCATGTAAGTTTTTCCAGGTTTTTCTGAAATTGTCCTGCTTGTCATTTCTTATAGCATAATAATATTTCATTACAATCTTCCTTTCTTCTTTCCTTCCTCCCTCCCTCTTTCCTTCCCTCCTTTCTTTCTTTCTTTCTTTCTTTCTTTCTTTCTTTCTTTCTTTCTTTCTCTTTCTTTCTTTCTTTCTCTTTCTTTCTTTCTTTCTTTCTTTCTTTCTTTCTTTCTTTCTTTCTTCTTTATTTCTTTCTTTCTTTTTCTTTCTTTCTTTCTTTCTTTCTTTCTTTCTTTCTTTCTTTCTTTCTTTTTCTTTCTTTCTTTCACAAAATGACCAATATTGAGATTGCACATGTATAATCTCAAATTACTTACCATCTCAGAGAAGGGGCAGGGGCAGAAGGGATAGAATTTGGAACTCAAAACTTTTTTTAAAATGTTAAAAATTGTTTTTACATATAATTGGGGGAAAATAAAATATTACTATTTAAAAAAAGAAAGCCAAGTCCTAACCTTATATATATTTTTAACAATGGTATGCTCTTTGCCAAGAGAGTACTATGCAGTTTTAATTATAAAAAAGGTACAGGAGACCTAGATAAAGTTCAGAAAAGGCCTAGTTTTAGATGGCTATCTTGCTGTATTCACTATGCTGCACTACTGGCTAAAGCACTGGATCTGGAGTCAGGAAGACCTGAGTTCAAATCTAGCCTCAGATACTTACTAGCTGTGTGGCAAGTCACTTAACCTCTTTGCCTCAGTTTCCTCAACTGTAAAATGAAAATAATGATAGCACCTACCTCAAGGAGTTGTGGTGAGGATCAAATGAGAAAATATTTGCAAAGCACTTAGCATAGTGCCTGGCACATAGTACCATATAAATGCTTATTCTCTCCTTCCCTGCATTATCTCACAATTATATAGCTGGTTAATGATAATAATAATTGCTAACATTTATACAGTACTTAAAGGTTTGCCAGGCACTTTGTACCCACACTATGTATGTATATGTGTATACATATATGTATGCATGTATACATATATAATACACACATATGTGTATATGTAAAATCCTATTTGATCCTCCATCTACTCTTGCCAGAATTGTCTGGATTAGCTATAGTGATCAATTTTTAGAATCACATAATCTTCAAATCTTAGAGCTGGAACCAATTGCAGAGGTCATCTGTTCCAATTCATACTGAAGCATTACTTCCCTCTACAATATATCTTGGGTTAGTGGTACATCCAGCCTCAGATAGATGAACTCTAATGTTAGGGATCTCACTTCCTCCCAAAGAAGCCAATTCCACTTTGGGAAATCTCTCATCGCTAAGAGGTTTTTCCTCATGTTGAGTCAAAATTTATCTCCTTTCACTTTTGTCTCATTAATCCTAGTTCTACCCTCTTAGACCAAGGAAAACAAAGACATTTCTCTTTCTCTTGACAGTCATTCAAATATTTGCAGAAAGACATCATGTTCCTGCTAAATCTTATCTTCTCCAGGTTAAAGAGTCTAAGTCTTCATACAGCAATCCATCTCATATAGCATCATAGCATCACTTCAGCTCCTCTCACCATCCTGGTCGTGTTCTTCTGGAAGTACTCCAACTTGTCAGTGTTCTTCTTTCCTAAATGCAATACCTCTAAATGAACACAATACCCCAGCTTGGGATCTGAACAGGGTATAGAGTACAAGCTGACTCTCTCTTCTTATACTGTAGCTCTATTAAAGGCAGCCAAATTCTTGTTAGTTTTTTTTGGCTTCCATGTCTAACTGCTGACTCATGTGAGCCTTTCAATAAATTAAAATCTGATTTTTTTCACATGAGCTACTGTCTATGTTTTCTCAATCTTGTACTCATGTAGCTGATCTGAGGAACTTAAATATAGACTCAAATTTATCTTCTTTTGTTAAACAGGCTTTCTAAGTCTATAGCTAAGGAAATTATATATATAATATATACACACATACATATACATACATATAGATAGATAGATAGATAGATTTGTCTAGGCAATGGGGTTAAGTGACTTGCCCAGGGTCACACAGCTAGTAAGTCTGTCTGAGGCCGAATTTGAACTCAGGTCCTCCTGAATCCAGGGTCAGTACTCTATCAACTATGCCACCTAGCTGCCCCCATAAATATATTTTTAAAAGATTTTTACTGGATTCACATTTGCTGGATAGGCCTAAGAATACTTCTGGTAATGAGTTTACATTCCATTTTTACCTCCCACCCCCAACTCAGAGAATTCCCAGAGCAATACCACTAAAAGACAGCTGTTTGTTGTTATCATCATTAATGCTTTTGTCTCAGTTCTTAGCAATGTGATGTGAATTATTCATTTACCAATTGAGATTTCTCTAACAGCCTAGAAAGCAAATTACAGAACTTAAAAATAGCTGGCATTTATGTGGTGCATTAAAGTTTGCAAAGTGCACATTTAATCCTCACAAAAATTCTGCAAGGTAGACGCTATTGTTATCCTCATTTTGCAGACAAGGAAACTGAGGCTCCAGGAAGTTAAATGACTTGCTTATGGTCACATAGCTGGTATCTCAGGCAAGATTCAAACGCAGGCCTTCTTGACTCTAAGCCAGGTACTCTTTATCCACTATACCCCATAGGTGCCTATTTTTCCTCAAAACAGCCCTATGCAATAGGAAGGGCGAGTATTATTATTCCAATTTTATAGATGCTGAGGCTAACTCATTAAATTGACTTGCGCTAAGTTAACTAGCTAATAAGTGGAAGAGAGAGGTCTTGAACCCACATCTTCAGACTCTACCCTCTGTTTCCCCCACTGCGCCCTTCTCCCCACTACCTTCCCTATCAGTTACAAAGTCCAAGAGGGCAGAGACCTCATGTTTTATCTAAGTCTTACATTTCCCTCTGTATACAAAAATCAGGGGCTTAGGAAATGTTAATTGAATTCAATGCTCACTCCCAAGTCCAGACCTCTATCCACTACACTTCATTGCTTCTAAACTACGCTAGACTGGGAGTTTACTACCCGCCCATCCTGTATGGTTCCTGCTCTCCAGGTTAGTGGCAAAAGGAGCCATAGGTTTTGAACTTCTGATTGATGCCAGTTGAGAAATGTTTTATAATGTCATAGAATTTCTTGCCTTAGTCCCTGCTGAACACAAACAGTAAACCATGAGGCAATTGGTGATGGGCATATAATTTCATGTTCCTGTAACAGGCTAATGTATTTTAATGACTGAAAGATAACAGACAACTGGTGAAGCATAATGGGATCCACATTATTTCTTATCTAGGTGATTACTAGTTACATGCCCGTGTCTATATTCAACCAGACATTAAACAGGGCATGAATATCCTATTTACAAGGATGAGCTAGGGCTTTATATGTCTGCTGAAAGGGTCTGACTGATATTCTTGGCTGCTGGCAAGTCCATAGAGTTGCTCAATTGTAAAGGTATTAAGGAGGCCCATAACAAATAATCACTATTTTTTCTTTTGAAGAAAGAAGGCCTTTTAGTTGTTAAAAGTAAATGAGCAGAAATCATTTTATCTGATCAGTGAAGCCTTTTAAATTACTGAATAATGAGACTTAAGCTAGGAAGGAAACACAACTAACGAGAAAGAAAAGGAGCTTGAGATGAAAATTGTTGTCTACTTAATTAATTCAGTGTACAAAGTGCCTATATAACACTTAACACACTTGATAAATGTATACTATAATTGTTATTAATTAGTAATTAATATAATGATGGTAGTTGGAGTAAAAATGGATTTCTGGTAATCCTTAAGTGTCAATTAGCATGGGAATAACTTTTATCTTTCAATTATGAGATGCTTCCAGTCTAAAAACTAAGCTAAAATACAGCACTAGTTGCCCTCTTACATAGGAAAGCAATTCTTTCATCTCCCAAAGAGTTTTGTTGATAAAAATATGTGGGCTCTGACTTTTAATAACACTGCTGCTTGAAAGCTAAAGGAGCTGTTTGTCCCAATATTGTCAGCCTGGCAGACTTCGTTTGTAAATCTAACAATGGTTGATGGTGGCAGTTATTTGTTCTTCACCCTGTTATGGTTGGAGCAGGGGTGTGTCAGAGCCCAGCTCATACCAGCTCACAAAAACTGATTGTTAAATTTTCAGGATGATCATTTACTCCTTGGAAAGCTATAAATCAGGGCTTGATTTATTGTTTTGTGGATTGTCTAGACTTTAAAAAGTGATGAAGAAAATGTTAATAGTGCAGCTTAAACTTAAAATGGGTCTGTGGGGAGGAGAGCTGCTTGTTAAACATTTACCAACACATTCCTAGGGTACAGCTACTTTTTCCCAATTCCTTCCTTGAAGCTTGACCTTCTGTGTTCACTAATCCCTTGGAGAGGGGAAGGTGGGAAGGATGGTTTCCTTTGACATGCTATGGGAGAAGTTAATGGAAAATGGTAGTTGCTCAAAGCCACTGTCTCAGCTAAGGGTTTTCTCCTACTTCTAATTAGCAAGTCTCCTCCCACCAGAACACAGCTAAATCTTTTTATGTCAAGAAGAATTCTGGACAGTGAGGATTCATTTCATCCTTTCCCAGCTTTGAGGGAGCTATAATATTGTGTATTAATAAAATCTCTGTGGTTTGTTTTAAGTTCCAGCTGGTCATTCCAGTAAATTAGAAAAAGAATCCCTCTTTCTGTGTCCTTCAGCAAAATTTAACTTTACTTATGCTCCTGTTACTCTTCCCTCCCCCCAAGCCCCTGAAACCAAGATACACATGTATGAAATGAAAATATTTTCAAGAAACCAGTTTCTTCTTAGAACATATGGGCAATAGAGAAGGCAGAGACTTTTTGAAGAAATGAGGAATGAGATATATGCTCAGCATATGAGAGCCAGAAAAGGAATAGGGAAGTAGGATCTCCCAGCCATCATTGTTGTTATCAATAAACAGAAATCCATTGCTATTTTGCCTTGGGTACGGGTGCTCCTGTAGCATTCAGCCACAGTCTTTTCCCAGCATCTCACCCTGGTCACCATGTAGGAGAAGACACTTGGCAGTGGAAGCTGGGGCTGCAGAGTTGAGGCTGCTTGGGCATATCAGCACTTGGTATTAGGTGCTATATTTGCTGAGTATACAGAGACAAAATGAAAACCAATCCTTAAGGAGCTTATTATATATATATATATATATATATATATATATATATATATATATATATATATATATATACATATATGTGTGTGTGTGTTACCTACCTACCTGTGTAGGTATGTATGTATATGTGTGTGTGTTAAACAGCTAAGCTTTGTTTGTGTAGGATTTTTTGGCTAACCTGTGATTATATTGTTATAGAAACCTTATTGGGAGGAATTCCCTCTATCAAAGCAGATAGGTGCCTGGCCTTCTTGCCCAATGTCACAGGGCCAGTGTGTGTCAGAGGAAGGACTTGAACCTAGGTATCCCTGACTCTGTGGCCACCACTCTTTCCATTATCCATTACTCCATGTAATTTTCATCAACAAAAAAGTAGAAACATGATAATCTGTGGAAGAGGGGAAGAGTATTAACAACTAAAGGGATCAAAAAAGGCTTCCTATAGGAAATGACACATGAACTGATCCTTAAAGAAAGCTAAGGGTTCTAAGAGGTGACACTGAGGATGGAATGCATTCTAGGCATGGTGGACAGCCTCGGCAAAGGCATAGAGGGAGGAAGCAATGTACTGAGTTTGGGAAACAGAAGGTGGGCCAATTTGACTGGAATATGAAGGAGAGTTCAATAAGCCTATCAAAGGAGACTGAAGACAGATTATAAAGGCCCAAAGGCAACTAGGTGGTACAGTGGATAGAGCATGGGCCTGGAGTCAGGAAGACCTGAGTTCAAATCCATCCTCAGACATTTACTAGCTATGTGACATTGGGCAAGTTACTTAACCTCTGTCTACCTCAGTTTCCCCAACTATAAATAATCATAACACCTACTTCCCAGGGTTGTTGTAAGGATCAAATAAGATAATATTTATAAAGTGCTGATCACAATGCTTGACACATGGTAGGCACTTAAATGCTTGCTTTCCTTTCTTCCTTCAACACCAGATTGAGAATTTTATATTTTATGCTAGAGCTACTAAAGATTTGAGTAAGGGAGTGGCATGATAGCATGACAGTTATGAAAATTGTCTGGACAGCTGTGTGGAGGGTGGATGAGATAGGGAAGAGAATAGAAGCCAGGATTCCCAATGGGAACTTGTTATTATAGTCCAAGAGACATGTGATAAGGGCCTGGACATACAAAGGGGAAGAAGAGGATGTCTATAAGAGATGTTGTGGAGGTACATTTGAAAAGACTTGGCCACTGAATATAAGAGATGCAGGAGAGAAAAGTGTCAAAGACTCAGGTTGTAAACCTTGGTGGGTGGAGGGATGATGGAGTCCTCGACAGAAATAGCCAAGTTCAGAGGAGAGATAGGTTGGGGTGTGGGAGGGAGGGATGATAATGAATTATGTCTTGGCCATGTTGAGTTTGAAATGCCTGTAGATTGTCTATTTGGAGATTAAATATAGTGCCATAAAACTCCATCACAAAAATTGCTTGCTACACAGTGGATTCAGGGATAATGTAGGTCCTTTACACACTGCAAACCTTCTGCTGTCTGGTGAATCTCACTGTGGTTGCTGTAGGTGGTCTCTTTGTTTCCTACTAGCAATGTTATAACATCATTCTACAAAAATCATTAAATAAAAGTATACTGCCAAATAGTTTGTCCAAAGAGCAAAAGAGAGAGGGAGAAAGAAGGGATGAGAGGGAGAAAAGAAAGAAGGGGGAGGGGAGAGAAGGGGGGAAGAGAGAGAGAGAGAGAGAGAGAGAGAGAGAGAGAGAGAGAGAGAGAGAGAGAGAGAGAGAGAGAGAAACAAGAAAAACATGCAAACTCTTCTTGGGCTTTTTTTTTTGTGGCCTGAATTTTGATAATATTTTCATGGTACATTATCTAAGTCATCCTAAAGTGCCAGAAGTTAAAAATTCCCAACAACTTTACTATGAGTCATAAGCTTCTCTAGTTATGGAGTCTGGGAAATCCCAGTTTGTGGCGCCTACACATTAGTAATGGTCCAACAAGAGATGAGAAAGAGAACAGGAAGGGACACCTCAAATGAGCCTGTCATTCAGGTCATTTTTTAAGCAAAATCACACATTATTCCCTTCTCTTGTGTTCAGTGTAGGAGGTCACCAACTTCTCTAGTCCTGGGAAAGTTAAGGTACTCCATGTATGGAGAATGCCTTTGTTTTTGACAATTTATTTTATATCCAGAGAATTTTCCCATGTGTACTTTAAAAATCCATCAAGTATGATATTTTTCATGATAATATTCAAATCAAAAATTCCTCATTAGTCAGAAGGAACTGTCAGCACCTCAAGTCATAGCCTTATTTATTCTAGCTGGACAGATCAAAATAAGTCCCTCTCAATACAGGGAATATGTAATAAACTCATACATCTAGGTGATGGTTTGCATGGCTTACCTGTACAGTCCAAGTCTTAGGTGTAACCTATGTAGCGGTCCTAACTGATGAATACCCAATCACTTCAGCTAACATATAGGTACCCAGAGCTCTAACTAGCACTTTCACACCTAGGCCACACTTCACAAAATATACCTAAGATAAGCAGCCTGAAAAAAAAAAACAACTTTCAAGTCAACTTTGTTTTTGTTTTTCAGACAAATTTAGTTACAGGCACTGAAACCTCTGTGGGCAAAGATCCCAGAAAACTATAAATCTGTTGCTGAAGAAATCACTAGGGAAATGGAGCAGGGCAAGGTCTGGCTAAGGAGGAGCTCGTCTGGAAGAAGAGAGCCATATGGTAGCTTCCAACTTTAATGATGTGCTCCTGCTAAGTAGGTGTAACCCTGTTAACCTCACCCTAGTTAGAGTTCTGGAAACACCGAGCTGACCTGGGTTTGGACTTTCTTTGCCCAGTATGAACACCTGCTGCAATAACATAAGTTTGGGAGGTGACTTTGGATTTAACATTGAGTCAAGATCACCTTAAAAAGCAACAGTGACAATAAAATGAAGAAAGTCTGCTTACCAGAGTCTTGGTTTTGGTGCTGTAGGTAAAGAGGATCCAGTTTAAAGGCACCTATCAAGTCTGCTCTCTTTTTCACCCTGTTTTTGGTCAAATCCATATAATACATATAAATCATGTTATAATCATACTGTTGTCATGTCAAAGAATCAGAAATGTCAGAAAATGGTTTGATTCTACAATCATGCTATATACTTATAGGCTTCAGAAAATCCTTGTACATTCATTTGTCTTACGTTAATTTCACTCATTTTCATTTTAAAAAATAAGTGTATGTATTTAAAGGACAAGGAGAAGACACATAGAAAGCTTTCCAAAAATTCTGTTATAAGGGATAGATAGGTCTCTCAGATTGGAAAGATGGGGCTATGGAGGAAATTTAGTTCATGTAAAAGCAAAAGATTTCAATAAAAACTTATTCTAAAAAAAATGTCTTCCAAATGGAAACTCAACCAATAGAGATAATAAATAACATAAGCTAATTGAATAAGGACTTCCTAAGTAGATCTACAGGTACCTTTTGAGAGTAACACAGTCCTGAGCCCCAGTATGTCCTCCCCTATAATTTAATCCATAGGCACCTCCTCTCTATTACAGAGTTGTCCCTTTCCCCTGAAGGAAAAAAGAACAAACTCCCAAATGCAAGGCCATCAGAGGTACTCTGGACATGCGCCAGGTCCCATTACACAAACAAATGTGGAACACTACTAGAGGCCAAGGGTCTAGGTATACGAGGGAGCTTGTGTTATCGATAATTCAAGGCAAAAACCTCCCATCATTTTTTTTATTCTGAGTGGAAAGTATAAAGGGACTTGAATTATGTAATTCAATTCAATTTAATTCAACAACATTAAGTTCAAGAGACTGGGCTGGACAGTTGGGGATAGAGAGAAATGAAAAACAATGACCTTGCCTTCCAACGTTTTACAGTCAAATAGGAAAAGGATGCCAGTATGCACAAATCTATACCACAAATTACATGGCACATGGGCTTATGATTTCATTTGTATAGGGAAGTCCCCAGGTGAGAAAACTCTCTTTACCAATGCAGGTTGGCACCTTTCCTACAAAGCTTAGCGAGGTGCCTGGAGCACTCACTAACAGATCAGGTGATTTGCCCAAGATGACCCAGCACGTGTATATCAAAGGGGGGACCTGAGTCAGGGTCTCTCTATTCAACATCCTTACACATATTAGAATATGATCACTGCAAAGCGAAAGTTTAAAAAAATCACACGAGAAATTTGAAAATTGTCTCTACTTTGGTGCGTAGCCATGGCCTAACGCAACGTTGTGGTGAAAGTTTCCTAGGGACAGACAGGAGACTAAATTTCAATCTGACAGTGGCCTTGGCTTGGAAAACAAATGTAATGTAATAGTCACTGAAAGATAAAGTCCAGCAAGCATGAAATAAAGCTTCGAGAATACTGACTACCAATGAGGAAATGAGAGAGAAAGGTAACTGGATTTATTTTCAAAAAGCCAATATCTGTGTGTTTTTTTTCCTCCTCTCAAAGGAAAAAAAAGAGACTGTGTCAATCAACAATAATAAACTTTCTGGATTATTTTCTCTGCTTGAATTGTATGAGAAAATTCCATTAAAACTAATGGAAGATACACCCACACAATACTGCCCTTCACATATGAAAATGATACTCCTGACTGCCCCACTGTTTGTAGGGAAGGCATTTGGAGTTTTTTTTCCCCAGTTGTGGTGACTGATTTCACGTGATAGACCAATGCTATCTCAGTCTCATATGTGAACAAGGGCACACATTCTAATAGCTGACCCAGTTAGGAGTGCTTTCTGTGATGATATAAATAAACAAAGCTACCCGAGACACAGAGATTCATTTCAATAAACATTTAATAGGGGGCCAACTACATATGATTGCAGCTGGTTTTAGGAACTACACAGGTGACTAAGAATCCAAGAATGACTTGGTTTCATTATGGAATCAGGATTATACAGTAGCAGTTCCAAGAAAGGAGCTCAGAGTTCATCTAGTCTAATTCCCTCATTTTACGGATTAGAAAACTGAGGTCCAGAGGGAGTTGAAGTGGAAGGAATCATGATGACATAATTAGAGTGCTGGACTTTGGGTCAAGGAGACCTAGAAGAGTCTGATACCTACTTACTCTGTGACCTTGGATAAGTCATGTAAACTCTCTAAGTCTCAGTTCACTTATTTATAAAATAGGGATAATAACATGTGTACTCCCTACCTCAAATGGTTCTTGTAAGGCTCAAATTTTTATTGTTGAGACATTTTAGTCATATCCGACTCTTCATGACCCCATTTGGGATTTTCTTGGCAAAGATACTGAAATAGTTTGCCATTTCTTTCTCCAGCTCATTTGACAGATGAGGAGACTAAGGTAAACAGGGTTAAATGACTTGCCTAGATTCATACAACTACTTAAGTGTCTGAGGTCAGATTTGAACTCAGGTCTTCCTGACTTCAGACCCACCAGTATAATTTACATAATATTTTAAGGTTTGCAAAGCACTTCATAAATTTCATTATCCTTATTTTACAGATGAAGAAACTGAGGCTGAGAAAGGCAGAGTGATTTGCCTAGGGTTATTCAGCTAATAAGTGTCTGAGATAGAATTTGAGCTTGTATCTTCCTGACTCCAAATCCAAAGCTCTGACCCACATGCCACCTAGCCTCCTACTTTGGTGACATGACATATACAAAATGTACTACAAACCATAAAGTATTGTCTATTACTAGTACAAGAAACTTGTCCAGTGGATAAAGAAACTTATCATACAGTAGATAGATGGTAGCATGTTCTCTGAGTCCTTTACAAGGATCTCATTCGAACCTCACAACAACCCTTGAGAGGCAGGTGCGACTATTATCCCCATTTTTCAGTTGTGGTAACTGAGGCAAGCAGAGGTTAAGTGACTTACCCAGGGTTTCACAGCTAGTAAGTGTCTAAGGCTGGATTTAAACTCAGGTTTTCGTTATTTTGGGTCCAACATTCTATCTACAAGCTGCCTCTAAATCCCATACTCTTTTAGCTACACTATATTGTAAGTTTTTTTAATCAAATTAATTCATTAGAACTATACCGGGTATGTAGAGGGGGAAGAGAGGAAGGTTGAAATAAAGAGTAAAGGAAGAGGATAAAAGAGGATATGCTGTAGGATGATTTAGACCCTCTGATGTGTGAGGTGATCCATGACCAAAAAGAATCAGTGCAGTCTTTGGAGTCAGCAGGATAAGGTCCTTGGATAAGTCACTTAAATTCTCTGAGCCTCAGTTTGGTTCCAAATGCTACCTCAGAGACTCTACTTACTAGCTCTATGATCCTGGGCAAATTCCTTAACCTATCTCAGCCTCAGTTCCCTCCTCTGTAAGATGGGAAAAAATAATAGCATCTACCTCCTAGGGCTGCCCTAAAGACCAAAGGAGATGATGTGTATAAAGTGATTTGCAAACCTTAAAGTACCATAGAAATAGGAACTGTTATTATCCCTCCCTTTTAGGATTAATTTCATTAAATTAACTCAGTAACTCCGTGTAATGTCATTGCTGTTTTGCGCATTTTGCCATTCTGTACTATTGAGATAAAATTTCTTCAGGAAATGCAGTAACTCATTTTAAGAGAAGCATTGACAAAGCAATATGTGTCCCCAAAAAGGTGGTTAGAAGAGGGAGGGACCTATAAACCAATTCACATAAAGAATCATTAAAGGAACTGAATGTGGAATCAAAGGTCTTGGGTTCAAACCCCAGCCCTACCACTTACTACTTGTATGACCTTGGGCAGTTGATTTGCCCACTCTAAGCATCATTTTTGTCACTAATACAATGAAGAGTATGAACTAAATTCCTTTGACCCCTCCAAGTTTTATATCCTATAACCAATGAACATAAGCATACTTAGCTCAGAAAACAGAAAACCAGAGAGAACGTGTTGCATAGTGGGTAGAGTGCCATATTTGGAATCAGAAGGGTTCCAATCTCATCTCCAGCTCTTGCTAGTTGAAAGACCATGGAAAAATCACGTTCTGAACTTCAGTTCCTCATTTGCAAACATGAGAATGATAATATTTATAGATTCTACAATATCTTACAGGTTTGTAGCAAGTTTCACATGAGGTGAGCTACCTGAATGGCTTTGCAAACTTTAAACAACTAAATAAATGTGACCTATTGATGGTGATGATGATGATGATGATGATGATGATGAAGAAAATGAAAATTATGATGCTGGAAATGTGTGACCTTGGGCAAGTTACTTAACCTCTGAGGGTCTCATTTCTTCTTGTAACAGGAAAGATGGGACCCAATTCCCCTAAACTCCCTTCATTATAGGATCATAGGAGATCACATTTGCACAAGCCTCCTAAAAATGTTTAACACCAAACTACAAAAAAAAGTAGGATATTAATGAACAGAAGAACCAAGATATCCCAAAGGTAAGTTCCAGCAGAACAGGCTGAACTACCTTTTATTTCTAAATCAGTTTCTAGAACCACTTTCAGGTTTTAAGAACGTTAGAACTGCTGTGACCTCTTGTAAGTGGCTGAAATCCTTGTGGTTCCTTAGGTAGTAATCCTACTCTGTATCAATGAACTAATTGGGAAGGGGAAGAGCGATTGGGATTTTTGAGTGTAGTTATCAGCATATCAGATATGTTGAGGAGTGTGGAACTTTTTGAAAAACTAATCCCATAGTAATGGACCATTAAGACCTAGCAAGAAGGGTTTAAATTTGCATACAAAGGATTCTTAGCAACAAATGCACAGCAAAAGGTTTATGAGCAGAATAATGAAATCATTAGGGAAAGGATTGACTGTGGTTGTTCAAAGTCGGTTTTTTAGAAATTCCAATTATCTTGTCTATTTCTATATTTAATGGAAATAACCAAAATTTTTACTTTATATTATGGACTAACCACTGGTGAAATTTCATTATGAAATACAGATACAGTTTTCATTTCAAAGAATGCACACACGAAACGCCAGTGAGTTCAGTAAACAATTTTCTTTCCTTTAATTTCCCATTTGTAATAATAGCCAAGTCTGAAATTAAAAACCAACAACAATTCACTCTTGAGTGT